TTATTGTGGTGCCGCTGCTGACTGAATTCGTCAGCCATTTAAATTTATTCTACCAGTCTTTGAAAATTATATAAGATTTATTTATTGTACGATGGAGAAGGTGTTAGTTTACAACATTGGTGTTATATTAGTGTTTCAGAGCAGTCGCACGCACCGCTTGGGAAAATGTAATGTGTGTCAAACAAATGTACGATAGTCTCGTCCATTCTCTTACGTCTATCGAAATTTTGTTGGCTTTTAGGTAGGGAAGATTTCTAAATGTTAAAATATAGTCTGGAAACGTAATAAGATGTGAACGATCAATTGGTCAATTATCGTATTAATTTAAATGTTTTATTCCCATACAACTTATTATTCTCTTCTTTTCTTTTTTTATTGACTTTGTTGGTTCTTTAAATTAAAATTTATATTACCGAGCGATACGATAAAGCTGCATTATAATCAAACTATATAATATGCATTTTATTAATATAAATGGAACCAAAGAGTATTTTTGTATTTTTGCATATCACAAAAGTGAAATTTTCAGTTAAGATAGTCATGAATGATACACCTGCATATTTCATTTACAGAATACGAATTTATTCCTTTATACGTATATAAGAAAATAAATTATATACTATTCCCGTCTATTTATCATCTGTACAAAGCACATTATTCCGACAGAATAATCATACTAAATGTATAAAAGAAATTATATAGAACCGTCGTAATTATATTTCTTTCGATATATATATATATATATATATTAAAAAATATATTTTTTTTGTAAATTCCCCTTAAAAATGCGCTTCTAACATTATTTTCAAATATATAAATATATAAAAATGAGAGTTATTTTACATTAATCTTGCGTAAAATTTAAGTATAGAAAAGATTTCAATATTAATACGAAGTTGCCGAGACTAAGTAAAAAGTTCTGAGAATTATATTTATAGTGGTGTTAATTTCTCTTCGAGGCTGACAATAATGATCCAGTCGTTTAAACTGGATCTCGCATAATCATGGGTACATAATTTGCAAAAAAATTATATTCATTATGTTCTTCTTAACGTAAGCAATTACGTGATTTATCAGCTATAATATATAACAATTGAAATAATGAATCAGCACGAAGTGTGACTAATAGACACTTATTTATTAACTAACCGTCACAATTCTATTTATATTTCTTTGTATTATGCAATAATAAATAATTAATGAAAAATATAATGGAACATTATACTTACGAATAAATCCATAGGTACGAATAAATCTATCATATTCAAGAAATATAACATAATTATGTGTATATAATATACTATATAAAATTTAATATAATTAAACTAAACGGTGCATGAATGGACAAAGCAATTTTTTATTCTATTTGCCGTCATAATATCACGTAAACTTATTTTCCAATATTCAAAACGTCGTAACATTAAATCTTCCGAGTTATAATAAGGAACTAATAGCTTACATCCTTTTTTTTTAGTAGAATCTATATATGTCTTAAATATTTTTCCATTATATAATATATATGAAGACAACTTGTTAGATGCATAAAATATGTAAATAATATTTACATAATTCATTCATTTTCATAGTTCATTTATAATATAAAATTTTAAACATGAAATACTTTTTAAAAAGTAAAATGTAAATGATGTAATTATTACGTACATAAAACACGTATTTAAAGGAATAAAAAATGACGGACGCTGTCCTACAACACACAGCACGTAATTGAAGTGACACCCAACTTTTTACGTGGACAAAATTTTTATGTACTAGACATCTTTATACGTGTGCGATCAACTGCTCAGACAATTTACAGACTGATAGTGACGTATATTACAAAATTCGATTTCTAACTGTCGCGTTATTATTATAATTCATTAATAGTGTGAAAATACGTGAGCTTTTTATCGTTAAAAACAGATAATGGGAATACAATTCTCCATTACTGTCTACATTTTTAAAAAACATTGTTTATTCCTTGATTTTTCATACGAAGGATAGAAAGTGTAATTTGTTCTTGAATATTTTTCATTCGTCGGTTGAAAAATTATAGAAAGTTTTATTTCCTTATTTTTATCAGAGCACTGTTTTAACGACTATGCTGTGAATTATTTATTATACAGTAAAGTAGTGTAGTAAGAAAGATAGAAACCACAAACTCTGTAAGATATAAAGATTAAAAAAAAATGATATTCACTCTATATTTTTGTGTAATTGTATGTATTTATATTTCTACAAAATCAGCAGCATTTTGTTTTATCATTGTGGTATATTCATAATCTATATGGACAATTAGATAATAAATAAATGTTTTATCACAACAGACGACAATTAAATGACAAAATAAAGAAACGACAATTAAATATTATTACATAAGTAATATATATATATATATATATATATCATCTGCAGCTATATGAGCAAAATTATTATAATTGCATATAATTTAAGTGGTATAGTGCTCAAATTATCTTTATAATTTTTTAATTTATTGGAACTTATGCATTCTCAGTGGCAGTATTACGATAAAAATAAAGTTTAATGCAGTGGAGTATATTACATATATACACATATGTATATGTATGTCATATACCTTTATGTACGAAATACAATTGTGAAAACGGAAAATGTGTCTATATTGTAGGACAAAGTTTATAACAGAATGTATAATTTTCCAGATATATGTACAACGAAATCTCGTACACGTCAATCGGTGTGAACAATATTACTCTATTTAGGTGAAGCACTGTTACCATTGTAATAAATTGAGTCAATTATTAATAATATCTAGTAAATTAAATGTATTTATAACTCAAAAGGTTCAAGATTACACTATTACTATTTAAAAATATTCAATCGATCGACAGTAGAATATATTAGGACTTTATGCATTAAAGAGCAAAATTTTATTCCCAGTGTTTGTATCATGTTTTATTGAGATATTGGACAATAAATATTTCATACATACAAGTATGTATATATATGTATATATATTTATATATATATATATATATATATATATATATATATTCCCTAGTACATATTATACTTGACTTCATATTATTTATTTAAACACATAATGATAGAACTACCGATAGATCTTTGAAGAAAAATATATTTTCCTTTACTTATAATTTTCCTCTGTTTTATTAATGAGCCATGAAATATTAATAATTCTATTAAGGTGAAACAAACGTAATGCATTAAACATTCTGAAAATTGCTATTCTATATATATGTTCATATTCATATTCTTATAAAATATTATCTTGATTCACCATTAAAAATGTTTTAATAAAAATTTGATTAAATTTCAATATTAAACTATAAGTTATATTTCTTTCAATTTTGTCGATAAATATAAAATTCTGATTTTTGTGCTAGAAAATTGCACGAAATTTATTTTATTTGTGAATAAAAATAAAAATGACTATACTTTTTATAGCTTTAGAGTATTATCTTTTGTAGCATTCTTTAAAGTTTTTAAGTTGAAATAATATAGTTATAAATGTTGCCGAATAGCTATTTCAATTAAACATTCAATTCACGATTTTATTACCATAATACATTTCATTACTGCATATTTAACACAAAATTAAATAATTTACAAAAAAATATTTAGAATTCATTATAATTTTACTAATTTAGTGCAAGAAATTCAAAGAAAACTTATCTAAACTCTATATAGCCATAAATAAATGTTAAATAGCAGTAAAATAGTATGTTTAATAAAAAATCTTTATGCCCATATGTTTTTATTCGCAAATCGCCGCCCTTCGAATTATCAATTCATTCACGGATTAATAGGAAAGGAATGTAATTATGTGTGTTTTGGCTGGGTTTTATTATTATATCTTTATTATAATATAATAATAAATATAATATTATTATATTTATTATAATATCTTATTCCGATAAATGAAATAGAATTTATAAGGATAGAATAGATGTGCGGAATATATTAATGCATTGAAAACAAATATCAGCATGTTAAAAGATATAAAAAAATATTTATAAAAAATTGTGATAATTATTAAAAAAAGAGGAAAAGATTTATTTCACTATTTATTTTATAATTAACAAAGATTTTAACGTCTTGTCGATTTCATTCGATCTCAATCTGACATCTTGAATAATTATGGGCAAAATATTTTCCGGCAACTGACTTTGCTGATCAAAGTTTAAGGCGTTAAATTAACGACTGTTTAACGAGATACATGCGATGATAATTCATGACGTTGAGTAGTGCAACTCGTTCTAGTATTACTCGTATCAACTGACGGTACTGATCCATTTTCAGAAAAGGTCAATGGACAATGTGTCAATTGCATATGTGAGGAGCTAATTATTAATAAGAAGCTACGCATTATTATTAACTCTTAACATTTTAAGAAAACGACGTTGCACCATAATAACTAATACGAACAATGAATACTTCTATTACATCTATTCTTAGATAGTGCTTTATGGATTCTACTTTATGCAATAGAATGTTTATTTATTGTACGTTTTTGTTGTTCTTTTATTGAAAAACAACAGAGAAAATGAAAAAAATTAACAAATTATACGTATGTAAATATCATAAAGAGGTGTAAAATGAAGCTAAAGAGAACATTATATTAATTGATTCCTATATTACGAAATGTAATGGAAATAAAATATTAATGTAATACGTCTATCAATATCATTGCCAAAGGTTGAACGTTATAAAATTTGCACGGATTATATTTAGCATTCGGGATCATGGAATTCGCAAGTAACTCGACCTTGCAGCTTCGTACTAATGATCGCCTTTAACTATGCCAGAAAATAAAACAGAAAAACTGTTACAATAATTTATTGAGAATATAAGCCAAAGATACAAAGACATATCAAAATATTTAAATCCTGAAGAATTTAATGAATATAAAAAAAGAAAGAAAAAAAACGAAAAAAAAAACACGGTACAGAAGAACAAAGCCGTCAAGACTAACAATTAATATCTAAGGACATGATCATTATTTACGCATAGTTCGAATCCTGTTTCGAATTATATCGTGATGTCCTGGATGCGACTTTCCATCCATTGCGCGAACTGTTGCTATATTTTCTACGACCCATCTTCATTATCGACATGCGCTTCGTGACCTTGTCAGAGAACTTAGGTAACTCGCGAAACCTCGTTAGTCGACTGGACGAATTGGATAGGTTCGTTAAATCTTCATCTGGCGAGGAAATTAAGTAGTGGCCTCTATTCCGTTTGATTAAGCCAAATTCTATAGCGCGTTTCAAGGCCGTCATTATCTGCCGATACAAAAGTCCTTTATACCAATTTACGGTTATTCACCTTGATAAGTTGCTTCATTAATTTGTCATTGATTAAAAAGTGAGACTTTGCGCATCTTTTTATTCGAACAAAAAAAAAAACAAAAAAAAAACAAAAAAAACAAAAAAAAACAAAAAATTTGGTTAAAAATTGATTGCGTCAAAAGTGTATAATAAAGTATATTAAAAAAAAAAAATTTGCAAAATTATTCATGTAGAACATTTCTGTTCTTTAGGAAATACTAAATAATTCTAAATATTTATTCAATTAGTAGAAAGAAATTTATTAAAATTTAGTGAAAATTTAAATAAATATAAAAACATTTTGTTATAAAATAAATCAATATGTATTATATTAAATATAATGTAATAAATAATAATTATAATCAAGATTTTATGGATATGTTTTATATAATTGTATCTACTTATTTATCATGATCGGACTGAATGAAAGTAAAAACAACATATTTTACCGATAATAAATTGAATGCAATTATTGAATAAAAATACATCAATTAAAAAGATAGAAAATAGTTTTGCGCTTACAATGACGAGTATACTTTTATATAAAAATTATTAATTTGAATTTATGTTTCACATTTTTTTTTTTTTTTTTTTTTTTTTTTTTTGCAAAGCCTCAAAGACATGGTCATCCAATTAATATGAAAGAATAAAAAAATTTAAGCAAACAACTGTAATCGTGCAATTAGATCCGAGACCATAGAAATTGGAACTACAAAATTTCTCAATAATAAATTATTAAAAATAAAAAATACTGACACTTTTAGAGATATTTCAATTTGATAATATGAAATAATATGATGATATAAAATATTTATATCCAAATAAAAAATATAGAAATATTGTTTTAATGGAATGAAATACCACTAAACATGAATGTTAATTTATTAGTATAAATATATTTGCAATTGTCATTAAATAACATTTTTTTTTTTTTTTTTTTGTTAAAAAAGTATTTATAAGCAGCAATAAATTATATTCGCATATATAATAAAATGTAACTACATTACTACAGTTATTAGCTAAAATTGAAAAATAAAATTTTTTCTATTAATAGTAATGAATATAAGTAAATATTATATTTGCTTTTATCATTTTTTATTAGTAAATTGTTTAGTTAGATATGATGTGTAATAAAAATCATAATACTGAACTAGGAATAATATATTGTAAATCGTCGATATGATATTGATGAAATAAAACATTGTGCGCGTGTGTTTGCATTATTTAATAATAAAGAATTATAAAGAATTTTTTTTTTTTTTTTTTTTCATTAGCGCCAAATTTAAGATGATAATACATGCAGCTATTATGTCATTGTAATATAATATTTATTTATTTACTTATTTATTATTTTAGTATGGATAGCGTGTCATATTAGATGAATAAGCCGACAGAAACTACAAGGGGGAATAAGTTTAGTACGAAAAAGGTTCTTGGATTTTTAGTGACGTACCTGACATTTTGTCGATGGTTTGTGATTTGCCGCGAAAATGTACTTTACAATATCCATCATTGTCGGGCCGTTGATGCTTTTCAAGTTCTTGAGGGCAGTGATTACCTGATATACGGCTTTTGCCGGCTGTTTAGATCTTGTTATAATTCCCATTTCTTTGCTAATTGGCATTACACCCCAGAGCCTTCAAACTTATAATTTTTCCCAGATTTTTTTATTTTTTATATTAAATAATATTGAGAACCGAAAAGTTTTAACGAAATATAAATAAAAATACGTTTGTTAATATGGAGTCATGTCATAGCGCAAGGCAATTTAAGGAATTTTTGTTTTTCCGATCGTAAGTTGTCATGATTACGAGGATACATGCAATCGATGCGAAGTTGTTATTGCTTGAATATTCGACTATTTTCGCGTTATGAGTGCAAATGTTTGGCGCGCAATGGCGATTCAAATTTCCTTTATTCTGTCTTAAAAACAGCAATGACCTTTCGTCGCGTATAAGTCTGTGCGAAATTCTATCGTGGAAGGAAAATTGAATTTGATTATGATTAAATAATATTTTCTTGTGATGCTAATTGCAATATCAATTGCAATTTCTTTATATCGGTATTATGAAGTAAGTGGACACACATTCTAGGCACATTAAAAAATTTTAACTCAGAAAGCAAAAATCTAGTGAAATTTTAATAGTATCCAGATTTTGTTGAATACATATAGTTGCTCGTTTAATGTATTTGGAACGTAGTTTGAGTAATCGTAGCCATCACATTAATATAAATAAAAATACAAAATGAATGGAACGAATTTTTCTTTGTTTTTTAAGAATCTTCATGTTTTATGAATTACAATGTATGACGTATGTTTTTGCGTGAGTGGCATACGAAATATTATTTTATAATGAATAGCTGTAAATTTATTATGTTAAAAATTATAATATAAGTTTCTTAATTCTTCAAAATATCTTTGGCATATAAAAAAAGTTACTTCGAATGAAATTGCGAATAATTTTATATATAAATATATATACATGTGTGTGTAAAAGGCACAGAAGGTAATTCGTAATATGAAATATGTAAAAAGTTGAAGATGCGCGTTTGAATTTAATATTTCAATTCTAACCAGTTTTCCATTTGACGGGAGCGCAAATATTAATTTCCGCATATATAAAATGTCTCGTTTCCCTATAGTTTCGCGCCAGTCGATCAACTCGATCAGAGCGAGAGTTTCGTCGAAAATCTGCCCACGGCGCAAGTGTCCGGCCACGTCGGCTTTAACAGTTTCATCCTGGCGATCATTTCTCTCTCGGCGCGGTTGCGAGCCATCGAAAGCCCATGATGATTTCCCCAAAACTTTGCCCCGGACTATGAAAGGGCCACGCGAAATGCCCTTTCGTCGCTCCAAGTTAGACGGGCACAGACAGAAATCAGATCGTCCGACTGCATTCGGCTGGCCGAGCACAAAGGGCCATTGAAATTTTCAAAGGCCATCGACCATACACGAGTGCGCGCGCCACCGTTGTCTAAACCTTCCCACCCCCGCAGCACCCAAGAGGGGCTGGCTGAGCTGGACGGGAATACCGTCGGTCGACAGCCTCCCACTGCCCCCTCCCGCCCACCGCAGCCCCGTTAAAATTGCACTCGAGCAATGACGCGGGGCTGCAACTGACGGTGTATTAAAGTACTTCTATAACATCCTATACTGGCAGGCTCGTTCGATTGTATGCGCGAAAGGGATGCGTATCCTGTATCCTGCGCACAGACGGAGAAATATTTGCGAGGGCAAGACATTTGCAAGACGCCGAGTTTCCATTGGGATAATTTACAAGACAGAATATACTCGGATTATTATTTATTTCAGGGTCAATTTCGGCTATGATTATTAAATTTGCTCATATTTTTGAGGCTTCAATTATATCGTAGGAATCTTCTCAGTGGTGGGCATTATATATTCGACGATTAATGTAGTGATTTACTTCTTATACTTGAAACGTTGAATTTCATTCAATATTAATGAATTTCACGTAAAAATATTGAGGAATAAATATATGGGGAAGCTTTGCTCAAAAGAAATGCATAATGAATAATAATAGCCGTGTAAATTTTTAAGACATTAATCTAAAATTTTCTATATGTTTGCGCGTGCGTGCATATGAGAATTCATGTACGCGCATGTGTATGTGCATATATAAAAATAGAGATACCAAGCGTTTATCTTACCAATATTATAATCTAAAAACTGTAAAAAAATATTATTATCGATATTTACATGCTTGTACTTCGATACTTTTATCTAACACAATTTTTCTATAAATAGAACTTATGAAAATATTACCATGAAAATATTACTTGGAAAATATTACTTTGAAAATATATCTCGAAAATATATTACTTGAACATATTGCCTTAACGAATTCTCGGATGAACATTAGAAAATTATTCAAACTCGTTGTAATATCCATCGATATTCAATGGATTTTACCATTTGATAAAGTGGGATTACTATTATTAACAATGTTGTACACGTATCTACATAAATTTAAAAATATAATGAGCAGCTTAAACATTTAACCATTAACATCTGAATTACGAACTTTAATTTAAAAACTTTAATTTCATTTAAGCAATAGGTTAAATAATATTTATTAAGTATTCTGAAAAATGTGTATCTTGAATTATATTAATTTTAACGAACGTTTTGCTTTTTCAGGCATTATTAAGTAACAAACATTAGTATTATTACTAACAAAAATAAATTATATTACAATTAATAAATAAAGAAACTTAATTAATTTATTTATAGATTGATCTTAAATAATAAACATAATAAACAATAATAAATAATATTTATTATTACGCGCGCGCGCGCGCGTGCATGTACGTGTGAGTGCAAAGGACTATATAATACTACAATGAAATAATACGATAAGCTATTTGAGTTTTATTTTTAACTGGTTTAACTCTCTTATTCGCATATAATGAAATAGGAATATAATGCTTATTAATTATATAGAAATATTTAAGTACAATTAATTCTATTAACATGAAACCATGGAATTATATTATTTCTATAATAAAATGTATTTTCTAAATTTAATTACAATTTCATAAATTATATATAATTTATGTAGAATCAATGCAGTTTGCTCTCGATACAATTTTATTTTACTTATTACGGTTCTAGCTAATATGGAAAACCTAAACATGCAGTGAACAGTAAAAAATATCTACAAGGAATAAATGTAATTTCTAAGAGAATATTATAACTAAATAAATAAATTTTAATTAAATTAGAAAAGATCTGTTTTTATATCTGTCGCTGTCAAATAGCTTTTAATATTCATAGAAATAAAAGAAATCTGTAGGATCATATTAAATTTGTTAAGACTTAGAAATACAAAAAGTTTAACTTTTTAACTAAAAAAAAAACTAACAAAAAATACAAAAATTTAACACAAATTTAACTTAACTTTAACAAAAAATTGCATTAGTCGTTGAGTTGTTAAATGAATAGTGAATAGAGATGTTAATAAAGTCTCGCGATGATAATTTATGTATCATAAAAGTATCTTTCAAATGTCCTATGCAAATAAATTTTACGTAGTTATTTGCATTGAAATCGAAAAGATTCATAAATCGAATTTGCGATTAGTCAATTATAAATAAGTGTGTATATTCACAGCATTAAGAATAAAAAACAAAATTTCAAGAAGAACAAATATTTAATTCTATGACATATAAACAAAAAAAAAAAGTTTACAATTTTCTTCATTTTTAAATAATAACGACTAAGATCATTTTTCTTAATGTAAAGTTCTGAATACATGGACCGTGATAAATGTTTCGTGTAACTAGTCGTTATCATGACAAACGGTGCAAACAATAAGAATAAAAATAAAAATTTAATTCATCGTGATAGAGGAAGCTTAAAGCCTGGCTATATTTAACTTAGAATTAAAACAAATTTTTCGTTTTAATGTTCTATCCAGTCATTATTAATAAATATAAACGATTAAGTTTACACTAATATAACAACGACGCTTAAATTTCATTACAACAGAATAATCTAATGCCCAATACAAATTATCAGTAATTAAAGGCTTTCGAACTCATCCATCATTTCATAATTTAAAGCTTATTATTCACTAATTATAATTATTTCATATTAGCTCCAATGTACTCCACTTAAAACGCAATCATTGTTGAATTAAAGCTGATTATGGTGCATCATCAGACAAAACGATATACCATTGAACACAAGAAAATTACGCAGTCAGTCTCATTAAAATCAGCGAACGGTGCGGTTTATTTTGTTCGGGTTCGATCGAATGCCGAAGCCCGAATCCCCAAACCTACTGATGAATTCTGATGAATGCTGATGGAACGTGGGACTTTGCACAGTAATAGCCATTAGTTTCCTGACTAAAAAAAAAAAAAAAAAAAAAAAAAAAAACTAGCAAACAATAGGATCTAGGATGGCTGATACTTTCGCTAGTTATCGGTAGCCACGGATAGGTCGTCCTTCCAGGATCACGCCTCCACGAGGACATAATTAGGTGAAAAGCCAAGTGTGCAAGGCTCGGTGGGGCGCCTGCGTGAGTATCTTCACCGCACGCGCGGCCGCATGTCAAGTAGCCCACAGTCAAGGGGCGCCTGAACATCCGGTAATGATATCTGCAGCGTCGGGGATGAGTCTACGGGACATGGGAAATCGACGGCAATTCGACTCGCTCTCACACGCATTGATCAGCCTGCGGTTTAACGGGGAAAATGGCTCCGGATTTTCGGGAAATCTGGAATTTTGGGTTCGCAATTGCGCGAGAGCGGCTGTCTTTTGCAATACCGGCTGGACCTTGGTGATCGAGTGAAATATTATTAGAGCGCACTATGGTGACGTTCGATCGTGTGGCTTTATTTAGGATCCGGCTTAATCATGCCGATACACGAGTGTGTTTAGCTGAAATCATGAGAATTAGATCACATTCCGGCAGGCTTGTCGTTCGTCTATTTCGATTCCATCGTTATTCAGACATTTTGCAATGACAGCGTTTAAATAGGATTTTGCAAATTACAATTTTCAATCACCAATTAAATGGTTAAGGTGAACAAAGCCATATCGAGTGATCGGCCATAATAAAAATAACAATCCATTACATGTTTATTACGATATTTTGATTATACATTTTTACTAATTTTCCTTTATTCGATTAAATATTATGTTATATAGAGTAAAACGCTGAGAGTAATCGACGGTTATTTATTTCATATTTTCCTAATGCAACGTATGCTTGCGTGCAGTAGTAACGTGAAATTACTTGAAACGAATGTTCCCCTCCTATTATATACATAGTAATTATAATTTTCAAATCTGAC